TTAAACGACCGTAACTCAGACATTTGACCATAAATTTTGGATTTCTTTTTTTGGATTAAAAGACACTTGTATCATTAAAAAAAATATCGGATTTGAAAATCGGATGAAAACTACTAAACTTATGATTTTTGAAATTTAAAACTTCAAAAATGGCTTTTTTTCGCATCTTTTGCTCTTAAAAAGTAAGTTAACGAAGTGATAGGGGAAAACTAAAAATATATTCGTACTCTATGGACTATAACGAAATAGAATTGGTATATGAGAACGCCTGCATTTTATTTTTCTTTACTTTTGTATCACAGTGTTATTTATAACAATAAGATATCAAAATATGTATGGGGGCCAGTGAAATTAAATAAATTCCTCAAGGGGTCCGCGAAGTAAAAAACGGTGGGAACCGCTGGACTAGACTGTAGAATAGTCTATGGACTAGACTATAGAATAGTCTATAGACTAGACTATAGAATAGTCTATAGACTAGACTATATAATAGTTAATTTACTAGACCACAGGAAAGTCTAGTGACTATACTATAAAATAGTCTACTGACTAGACTATAGAATATTCTATTGACTAGACTACAGAAAAGTCTATTGACTATACCATAGAATAGCCTATAGACTAGACTATAGAATAGTATAAAGACTATCGAATAGACTGCAGACTAGACTTTAGAATATATCATAAAATATACTGTAGACTTGTTTACTGACTCGATTATTGAGTAGTCTACAGACTTGATTATTGAATAGTTTATTGACTAGACCATAGAATAGTTTTTTTTCAATAGACCATATAATAGTCCATAGACTAGACGGTAGAATAGTCTATAGATTAGACTGTAGAATAGTCCATAGACTAGACTATAAAATAGTCTATAGACTAGACTATAGAATAGTCTGTAGACTAGACTATAGAATAGTCTATAGACTAGACTATAGAGTAGTCTATAGACTAGACTATAGAGTAGTCTATAGTCTAGACTATAGAATAGTCTAAAGATTAGACCATATAATAGTCTATAGACTATACTATAGTAGTATATAGAATAGACTGCAGACTAAACTATTAAATATACAATAGAATAGACTGTAGATTAGAGCATAGAATAGACTACAGACTAGACTATTGAATAGTTTACTGACTGGATTATTGAGTAGTCTACAGACTGGACTATTGAATAGTTTATTGACTAGACTATAGTTTTTGGATTAGACCATTTAATAGTCTATAGACTAGACTGTAGAATAGTCTATGAAAAATCTTTAGCTATCAACAATAGCAAAGGATTTTCTATAGAAAATCTTTAGCTATCAACACTAGCAAAGGATTTTCTATAGAAAATATTTAGCTATCAACGATAGCAAAGGATTAGTTTATAAACTAGACTATAGAATAGTCTATAGACTAGACTATAGAATAGTCTATAGCCTAGACCATAGAATAGTCTATAGCCTAGACCATAGAATAGACTACAGACTAGACTATAGAATAGAATACAGACTAGACTATTGAATAGTTTACTGACTGGATTATTGAATAGTTTATTGGCTAGACTACCGTTTTTTGATTAGACCATATAATAGTCTATGAACTCGACTATGTTATAAACTATAGAGTAGGCTATAGAATAGTCTATAGAGTAGAATATAGAATAGAGTATAGACTAGACTGTAGCATAATCGACAGACTATAGAAAGGAGTTTCTATAGAAAATCAACGATAGTAAAGGATTTTTTATAGACAATCTTTATCTACGATAACAAAGGATTTTCTATAGAAAACCTATGGCTATCAATGATAACAAAGGATTTTCTATAAAAAAAATCTTTATCTACGATAACAAAAGATTTTCTATAGAAAATCTTAAGCCATCAACGATAGCAAAGGATTTTCTATAGAAAATCTTTAGCTATCGACGATAGCAAAGGATTTTCTGTAGAAAATCTTTAGCTATCAACGATAGCAAAGGATTTTCTGTAGAAAATCGATAGCAAAGGGTTTTCTATAGAAAATATTTAGCTATCAACGAGAGCAAAGTATTTTCTTTAGAAAATCTGTAGCTATCAACAATAGAAAAGGATTTTTTAAAGAAAATCTATAGCTATCAACGATAATAATTAGTTTGTTGTAGTTATTTTGTTGTTTCAGCTTAGTTTCTTTATAAACCCCTTTATTAAGAACAAATTTAGATTGCCTTTTATGGTTGTTATTGCACTTACAATTTCGCACTTATTCACACTTTCAAACATCTTGCACTTTTTTCCGTTTATCAAATTCTTTGATATTTAACTTTATCCAATTTTTAAATTCCTTAACTAAAATAACGTTTCACTTGCTATCATTTTCCTATAACACGCATCAAATATCCTCATTAAGCTTAGAACATAACTTGAGCACGATAATGATGTTGCAACTTATTGGCACGACAACCCAATTTCATTTGCCATTTAGCTTGGACACGCTTCATAACATGAATATCACGAGCTTTGCGAGCAGCAGCATTTTGATCACTAGTAGTCCAGCCTAATGAACGATAAGTACTCAAGAGATGATGCAATTTACGATCGGATTTTTTGGGCACCACAGCACGATTGGGATTCAAACGTTGTTTGTAGTAACGCAGTAATGAACGGTGACCAATAACAGCGCCGGAGGGTAAAACCAATTGATATTCATCACCATCTAAAAGGTCGGGTACAACTTCTTCATCCACATCCATGCCTTCTTGCTAAAATTAGGAAGAGAACAAATAGATATCAATATTTTGTTTTATTTTATAAAGTTCCAAAAAAAAACTTACATGATCTGGATAACTGGAACTGTAATCGTAATAATCAGCATATTCTGCCAAAGCCAAACCTTCATGCAACATTTGACAGTGACCCTTATCTAACATATGTTTCCTTACAGCATCCAAAGTATAGAAAGTCTTACCGCGATCATTGCACAACAAACAGATAAAGTAAACAGCAACCTTTTCACCCAAATAATTAAGCAAGCCCTCCAAATCTGTACAGTACTCCAGGTCGGGTATGAAAAAGGAATGTGTTTCGGACATATGTTTCAAATTATCCATAATATCTTCGGCTTTGTGAGTACAAAACAAACAATCTTTATCTGTTAAAGGATTTTCGGCCAATTCATCATCTAATTCATCGGAATCTACCACTTCTTCCTCAACATCCTCGTAGTCATCATCATCCTCATCGGCTTCCATTTCTTCTGCCTGGGCCACTTGCTGTAAGGCAAATTTACCTTTACCTTGAGCAGCAGCAGCTATGGCAGGATGTGGTCTGGGTTGTATGACAGATTTGGTGGTTATCTCTACTTCTGCTCCTTGATTCTCCCTCTCAAATTTGGCCAAATTGTCCTTGTGTTTTTTGCTGTTCAAATGATTGTCATGAGCCTTCTGGTTACCGAACTGTTTGCGACACGCGTTACAGTACAAACTCATTTGTTTCTCCTCATTAGCGGTGGCTTCAGCATTGCGCATTTGTATGACACGCGACTGGAATTCCTCAGCAGTGACTGGTGGCAATTCAGCCACTCGACGTTTAAGATTGTAACGATGCCAATCTGTTTTGTAGTGTTCACGTTGTATATCTGCCGAGGCGAATTTAACGCTGCAATTAATGCAAGTAAAATTGGACATTTTTGTTTAATTTAATAAAATTTCACAACTAATTTCTTTTTTAATCACTAAAATCTGCTTTTCAACTGATGAATGCAAAATCTAAACACGTTCTTGTTGTTTGTCTGTCAATTGTTAAAATGAGAGATGGGTGAGAGAAAAATGTCAAAATGTAAACATCTGCGAAATACAAAGCCAATGAAATCTAAAACCAACGGCGTTAAGCTAGTTATAAAGCTGCCAGATGATGAGAAATATATAGAAACGTTATTTTTAAACAAGAAAACCTATTATTTTAATGCTTTTTTTAAAGAAAATCAATCAAATCAGATAAAAAAATCATTGTTATCATTAGAAAGCATTATTTTTTTTAAAAAACTCGTTATTTTCATGAGACCGAAAGGTTTTCTATAGAAAATCGTGTATAGCAAAATAGTTTCTATAGAAAATCCACCACTGTGGTAGATAACTAAAGATTTTCTATAGAAAATCCATCGCTATCGTGAATAGCTAACGATTTTCCATAGAAAATTCTTCACTATCAATCGGAAGGTGTTTCTGAGATCTTTCATTGATATCCTTTTTTAAACTTAAATGATGTCCGATATATATGAGATATGGCTCACAAACATATATCATATGAAAGACCAAAATGTTGTCTACAAAATCAGATTTGAAGTACCATTATATCGATTTATGAATATTTGAGATAACGGTGTTTTTGTAAAAAAGTCAAGATTAAAAAATATAAAATTAGAACATAGCTGTCATTATGTTAATGATTTAAATTACATTATATATCCATCGAAAGGTAATACTGAGGCCTTTCCATTAATATCCATATCGGCGATATCAGATAAGTGATTAAATTTAAACTCCTTTAACTGTTGCATTTCATGAGATAGGACTTTTAATCATATATCATATGAGAGGCCTAAATGTGGTCTACAAAATTTGATGTGATTAAAGTACGGTTATATCGATATATTTTTGAGATAATGGTGCTTTTGTAAAAAAGTCATTATTAGAAAATATAAAATTTAACCCTAGCACTCAATGGGTTAATATTATATGTTATACCATATATATGAATATTTTGGAGACCTCTCAATTGATATCCATATCAACTATATATAACAATTAGTAGTCGAGATATATCAAATTTTAAATCAAAACTTTAAAGGGTTATAACTCCCGGAACTGAATAGACTAAAGTTATATTTTTCCATTTTTGTACTGAGAAGAAGGAAGACTCGCAAGCAATATAATTTTTTCCCTGAAATCTGCTGGACTTAAAAACGCTTTCTTATTGGCATCTCTTTAATAAATTAATAACAAATCTGGCAGCACTTTATTGAAATCGCGTCAGCTGTTTGATTAGTCCCGCCGGTTGCTTAGTAAACTAACGGAAGTGTAAACAAAAATTCTTATTAGATTTTTAAAAAATTTCGGGCAAAAAAAGTACAAAAAGTCGTCATGGAGGGCAAGGATAATCGATCGAAAGAGTAAGTATTAGCCATTCATTAGCTACAACTCAAAAGAACTACAGCAAACTGAAAATTTTCTCCAACTTAGTAAGCGTCATAAAATGAAGTCTCACTATCGCAATAAAAGCAAATATTGTACCACCTCTTCGTCCTCGGGTCAAGTAGAGACGGTACGTGGTTATGTTGATGTGGTGGATTCAAGTGATGAACGTTTTATAGATAGAAATGAGTGGATAAGAGGTGGCCAGAAAGTAAAAGCCGCTAAGACGTATCCCTTGGAATTGGATGACTTCCCTGCTGGCGAGGAAGAGAACGAACAAATGCGTGCGGGAGATTTCACTTCCATGTCTCAATTACCCGCCGGCATGGGTGGACATTTTAAATTCGCCTCCGAAAAGCAATGGGAACAAGCGGAAAATGAGGAATTCCTAGACAATACCGAAGCCAGTGAATATTTCACTTTAAATTTGAAACTTTTAAATGTGGGTCTACAAACTATACCATTCTACAAGCGGATGGACTACTCATCCTCCATGTTTAGCAAGGAACAATTGCAAAACATGGAAAAAGAAGCTGAGGCTGCTGAGAAGACATATCAAAATGTTTTGAAAGAACACATCGAAAATCCCCGTATTAAAATTAATTCCGCCAGCCGTAAGACCAATTCTGCTAAAAGTCAAAAATCCACTAAAGCTAAATCTCCAGAAGCTCCCGATGAATTGGATGAGTTATTAAATATGACCTCAGATCAAATGTCAAAAGTTAGTGTAAAATCTGGTGCTAACACTCCGGCCTTGAAACCTAACACACCGGATAATAAAAGTGCTGCCGGCGTTAGTTCGACGGTTGCAGAAAACAAAGATGATATACAACAGTGGTTGGATAATGTACTAGATGAATAAAGACAAAGGTAATTATGGTTAAAACTTTTACTTAGTAGAATTTGGAATTGTTAAAATAAAGTAGAAGTTGGAATTTGATAAAATTTTTTTAAAAAATATAAATATTTGGGAACTACAAAAGATATACTAAATGAAGGAAACTATTAGAACACAAGAACCGTTACTTTCTTTTTGATAGTAGCATCCATGACATTATCTAAAGCTCTAAATTGAAAGCACTTTAACTTTATAAAGAAAGGCATAGCCGGGATATTATTTAACATTTAGGCATTTTGTAAGGCCTTCAACTTGATGAATATTGGCTACAAAGTAAGATTTCAACTGTTTTTACGAAATTACTTTTAAATTTACTTAAAATTGGATTAAGTTTTTGTATATTTGGAAACTGTACATAAAACATTTATAGGTAAATTTTTTTCAATTAATTAGTACAAAGTTCGTGCAGGCAAAATATTTCCCAACAAAGTATTCGCGAATTTCAAAAAGTAATAACATTTTGCACGCATATTGTATTACGCATTTGTAAAGAAACAAACACTTACTCACGCTAATTCCCATTTTAGTACATTATCCACTTAAAAGCTTCCAAGAGTTCTTTGATGAGAGTCTGTAGGTAGTGATTTTTGGGATATAGCCGTTTTAAAACGTTCAAAGGCAGAAAATTTACTTTTCTAATTGTCACTTAAAATCCTAATAACTTTTTTTAAGTTCAATGCTTAATTAAACAAAAATTTCATATATTAGTGGTACGTTAAAAATTTAAAGAGAAATGAAGTATTAAAGTGATACATATTTGAGAGTTTCTTTATATAAATGTAAAAAATTGTGATTATGCAGCAGATGTTGGTTTAAAGAGCCAACTTTATCATCAATATTATATGTGTCAATTCATTCTTGTACTCAATAAAGCAAATTTATAAATATGTACATACATATAATAAAATTAGAAATTAAATTTCTGTTTTACTTTTCTAAAAGAATTAAGAAATTATCTTTAAAAATACATTTTTAGAGGATTTTCTGTATAAATCTTTAGCTATCAACAATAGCGAAGGGTTTTCAATAGAAAATTCTCAGCTTTTACCGATAGCGAAGGATTTTCCATAGAAATTATTAAGCTTTCCGCGATAGCGAAGGACTTTTCATAGAAAATTTTAAGCTTTCCAAGAAAGTAAGTTTTTTTTATAGAAAATCTTTAGCATTTCTTGATGGCGAAGGATTTTTTTTAGTAAAATATTAGTTATCAACGATAGCGAAGGATTTTCTAAAGAAAATCTTCAGCTAACAACAACAGCGAAGGATCTTCTATAGAACATCTTTAGCTATCCACGATATAGAAGGATTTTCTGAAAAATCTTAAGTTATCCACAATCTTAAGTTATCCACAAGAGCGATTACAGAAAATTTTTAGCTATAAATGTCAACAAGGATTTTCTATAAAAAATCTTCAATTTTCTATTATAGCGAGGAATTTTCTATAGAAAATTTTCAGCTATCCACGGATGCTAATATGTTTTCTATAGAAAATCGTCAGCTTTCCTTGATAGCGATTTTCCATAGGAAAACTTAAGCTATTCACAATAGCAAGGATTTTCTATCCAAAATCTTTGGCCATCCATGATAGCTCCCTCCATAGCTAACCTTCTAATCTTATTTCACATATTATTTCTAAATGACCTGAATTTTTTTTAATTTACACACATCTTTTACCAGCCTTTTACCAATTAAAATAGACAAAACTCTTCTAAAGTGTCATCATTACCTCTACACCTAACAAACTCGGAGCTCTGATTTGGCGCTTACTTGAGCATTTTATTTATATTTATGCATTTTTTCTTCTTTAGTTCTGTTGCTATTCTATTTAGAAAATAAAATAACCCTCCTCCCAGTAGTAATTAAAAAATAAAATGCACAACTTATGATACTTATGACAAACCAAATACGAAAGTTGATAATCTTTTCATGTGCATGAATAATTAAAATTTATTAAAAAGTTTTCAACGTTTTTTGTTTTCTTTCTACTGAATTCTGTTCTTTTGGTTCCAAAGCAAAGTTACAGTGAAAAAATGTGCAACCAAGAAATACTAAAACAACTTTTTTGAAAGAAAAGATGCAGGACAAAAAATGTGTATAAAAACAGCAGTTATTTAAATGCATATAAAAAGTGTGATGGGAAACAGGGTATAGTATTAAAGAGATGTATTTTTCATCACGTCTTTAAAGACTTTAAATAGCCTTTTCTAAAGGAAAGTAAACTGTAGAGACAACAATTTACTTTGTTTCCTTTATGGGAATAGAGTGAGAGCTCTAATACAAAAATGATTCTCCCAGAGATTGGTTCTAATATTAGGACTTTCAGATCATAAAAGATCCTCTTCTGGAATGTCTTAAAAGGATGTCTTTTTTCACTTTTAAAGACCGTAAATAGACGTTTCTTATGGAAAGAGAAAAGAGACTCGACTATAGACTACACTATATACTAGACTGTATACTATTCGATAGACTAGTCTATAGAATAGACTATTGACTAGCCTATAGAATTGACTACAGACTAGACTATAGAATTGACTATAGACTAGACTATAGACTAGACTATAGACTAGACTATAGACTAGACTATAGACTAGACTATACTAGACTAGACTAGACTATAGACTAGACTATAGACTAGACTATAGACTAGACTATAGACTAGACTATAGACTAGACTATAGACTAGACTATAGACTAGACTATAGACTAGACTATAGACTAGACTATAGACTAGACTATAGACTAGACTATAGACTAGACTATAGACTAGACTATAGACTAGACTATAGACTAGACTATAGACTAGACTATAGACTAGACTATAGACTAGACTATAGACTAGACTATAGACTAGACTATAGACTAGACTATAGACTAGACTATAGACTAGACTATAGACTAGACTATAGACTAGACTATAGACTAGACTATAGACTAGACTATAGACTAGACTATAGACTAGACTATAGACTAGACTATAGACTAGACTATAGACTAGACTATAGACTAGACTATAGACTAGACTATAGACTAGACTATAGACTAGACTATAGACTAGACTATAGACTAGACTATAGACTAGACTATAGACTAGACTATAGACTAGACTATAGACTTGACTATAGACTTTACTATAGACTAGACTATAGACTAGACTATAGACTAGACTATAGACTAGACTATAGACTAGACTATAGACTAGACTATAGACTAGACTATAGACTAGACTATAGACTAGACTATAGACTAGACTATAGACTAGACTATAGACTAGACTAGACTATAGACTAGACTATAGACTAGACTATAGACTAGACTATAGACTAGACTATAGACTAGACTATAGACTAGACTATAGACTAGACTATAGACTAGACTATAGACTAGACTATAGACTAGACTATAGACTAGACTATAGACTAGACTATAGACTAGACTATAGACTAGACTATAGACTAGACTATAGACTAGACTATAGACTAGACTAGAGACTAGACTATAGACTAGACTATAGACTAGACTATAGACTAGACTATAGACTAGACTATAGACTAGACTATAGACTAGATTATCGACTAGACTATAGACTAGACTATAGACTAGATTATCGACTAGACTATAGACTAGACTATGACTAGACTATAGACTAGACTATAGACTAGACTATAGACTAGACTATAGACTAGACTATAGACTAGACTATAGACTAGACTATAGACTAGACTATAGACTAGACTATAGACTAGACTATAGACTAGACTATAGACTAGACTATAGACTAGACTATAGACTAGACTATAGACTAGACTATAGACTAGACTATAGACTAGACTATAGACTAGACTATAGACTAGACTATAGACTAGACTATAGACTAGACTATAGACTAGACTATAGACTAGACTATAGACTAGACTATAGACTAGATTATCGACTAGACTATAGATAGACTATAGACTAGATATCGACTAGACTATAGACTAGACTAGACTAGACTATAGACTAGACTATAGACTAGACTATAGACTAGACTATAGACTAGACTATAGACTAGACTATAGACTAGACTATAGACTAGACTATAGACTAGACTATAGACTAGACTATAGACTAGACTATAGACTAGACTATAGACTAGACTATAGACTAGACTATAGACTAGACTATAGACTAGACTATAGACTAGACTATAGACTAGACTATAGACTAGACTATAGACTAGACTATAGACTAGACTATAGACTAGACTATAGACTAGACTATAGACTAGACTATAGACTAGACTATAGACTAGACTATAGACAGACTATAGACTAGACTATAGACTAGACTATAGACTAGACTATAGACTAGACTATAGACTAGACTATAGACTAGACTATAGACTAGACTATAGACTAGACTATAGACTAGACTATAGACTAGACTATAGACTAGACTATAGACTAGACTATAGACTAGACTATAGACTAGATATAGACTAGACTATAGACTAGACTATAGACTAGACTATAGACTAGACTATAGACTAGACTATAGACTAGACTATAGACTAGACTATAGACTAGACTAGACTAGACTATAGACTAGACTATAGACTAGACTATAGACTAGGACTATAGACTAGACTATAGACTAGACTAGACTATAGACTAGACTAGATATAGACTAGACTAGACTATAGACTAGACTAGACTATAGACTAGACTAGACTATAGACTAGACTATAGACTAGACTACTATAGACTAGACTATAGACTAGACTATAGACTAGACTATAGACTAGACTATAGACTAGACTATAGACTAGACTATAGACTAGACTATAGACTAGACTATAGACTAGACTATAGACTAGACTATAGACTAGACTATAGACTAGACTATAGACTAGACTATAGACTAGACTATAGACTAGACTATAGACTAGACTATAGACTAGACTATAGACTAGACTATAGACTAGACTATAGACTAGACTATACTGACTAGACTATAGACTAGACTATAGACTAGACTATAGACTAGACTGTATACTATACTAT